ACCAATCCTACCTTGATTAATTTTTTAATTGAAATGACCTTGTATGTACACTATTAAATGATTTTAAATATTGAAAGTTAACAAGTTGTTATATATAATAAATTTATTTTGATTAATCCTCAAAAATAATGTAATAGCTTATGTTTTATTTATAAAACTTTCAGTGTTATGTTACAGTGCAATGTATCGCACACTCACGTTGTGAGGTTTCAATATTACAATAACAAACATTGATAACACACAAGTTAAAAGTCTCCACTTGCATCACAAATAGAAGAATATTAGAGAAATTTGTGAACTAATAAGATTTACCATTGAGAAAAGTGAAACATAAATCTTGATAAAACCTTTGAATAGAGCAATTGTTTAAGTTTCATAACTTTTAATCATAACACTTGATACCGTTAATATGCATTTGCTCCTTCAAAATTTGGTTTTTCCTTGTTTCAATAAAAATTTGTGTGACAGAAATCTTGAATTACGATCAAATATATACGTGAATTAATCAGTCGAAAAAAGACAACTGAAGAAAAAAAGCCTAAAAAAGAAGCACAGTCACAGGGAGAGTCTCTTAAGAATATAGCATTGGATCTTACTAAATAAAAAATACATTTATAACAGATAAGTAAGTTTTAAGTCTTATAAATAAACAAAGAACCCAACATTCTCTGATTATGAGAGATGCAATGCTCCATTCTTAGGAGATTCTTCGGGTGACTGAAACTCTTTATTAAGCCTTTTTTCTTCGGTCGTCTCTTCGACTGATAAATTCATGTATGTGCTTGATCGTTATTCAAGATTTCAGTGACACAATACATATCATATTCTCAAGTTAACTGTTGATTAAAACTATAAAGCCAAAGGGCTGCACTGCCTGTGCATCCATAAGTCAATGGTAAAAGGTCTAATGTATAGTAAGTTTGTGAACGTGGTTGATTTTATAAGCAATACAAAATAAGTAGAATATTTATACTTTAACATGTCAATTTTTGGCTCGATGATAAACTGTTAACTTGCCGCAGATAATACAGAAAATTTAAACTTTTTATTGTCTATCTACTCCATTAGTTGCGGCTGGTTTATAGTTAATAAAGTGGCTCTACTGTGAGTAGTAATAGTTATTTGGATCAGCGCCATCTAGCGGTCTTCATTTTTGAGCGAAAAGTGGCCTCTAAAATTCTCAATCAGAGCAATCAGGATTAGAGCCATTTAATCAATCATAAACCAGCCGCAACTTATGATGAAGCTATAAAATGAAAAAATAACGATACATGTGTTTTTGGCGGCAAGTTAACAATTCATATTTATTCGAAAATTCATTTTCAAAAGTATAAATACATAAGAGGTCAATCTTTTGGTAGAAAATAAATTGTTAACTTGCCGCCAAAAACACACGTATCGTTAATTTTTCATTTTATAGCTTTACCTGAAGTTGCGGCTGGTTTATAATTGACTAAATGGCTCTAATCCTAATTGCTCTGATTGAGAATTTTAGGAGCCACTTTTGGCCAAAAAATCACGACCGCTAGATGGCGCTGATCCAAATAACTATTACTATCTTACAGCAGAGCCGCTTTATTAATTATAAACCAGCCGCAACTAATCTTGTAGATAGACAATGAAAAGTTTAAATTTTATTTGTTATCTGCGGCAAGTTAACAGTTTATCATCGAGCCAAAAATCGACATGTTAAAGTATAAATATTCTACTTATTTTGTATTGCTTATAAAATCAACCACGTTCACAAACTTACTATACATTAGACCTTTTACCATTGACTTATGGATGCACTGGCAGTGCAGCCCTTTGGCTTTATAGTTTTAATCAACAGTTAACTTGAGTATATGATATGTATTGTGTCACTGAAATCTTGAATAACGATCAAGCACATACGTGAATTTTTCAGTCGAAGAGACGACCGAAGAAAAAAGGCTTAATAAAGAGTTTCAGTCACCCGAAGAGTCTCCTAAGAATGGAGCATTGCATCTCTCATAATCAGAGAATGTTGGGTTCTTTGTTTATTTATAAGACTTAAAACTTACTTATCTGTAATAAATGTATTTTTTATTTAGTAAGATCCAATGCTATAATCTTAAGAGACTCTCCCTGTGACTGTGCTTCTTTTTTAGGCCTTTTTTCTTCAGTTGTCTCTTTTCGACTGATTAATTCACGTATATATTTGATCGTAATTAAAGATTTCTGTAACACAAATTTTTATTGAAACAAGGAAATACCAAATTTTAAAGGAGCAAATGCATATTAACGGTATCAAGTGTTATGATTAAAAGTTATGAAACTTAAACAATTGCTTTATTCAAAGGTTTTATCAAGATTTATGTTTCACTTTTCTCGTTGGTAAATCTTATTAGTTTACAAATTTCTTTAATATTCTTCTATTTACGATGCTAGTTAAGACTTTTAACTTGTGTGTTATCAAACTTTGTTATTGTAATATTAAAACCTCACATAAATGTGTGATATACTGCACAGTAACATATATATGTACATAAGAAAATAAATATTACAGATTTCAGCGACTCAAAGTTTTTTAATCCAACATGGACCATTACAACATTTTTGAGGATTAATCAAAATAAATTTATTATATAAAACAACTTGTTAACTTTTAATATTTGAAATCATTTAACAGTGTACATACAAGGTCATTTCAATTAAAAAATTAATCAAGGTAGGATTGGTAGGATCTGCATCTGCAGACTTACAATAAGATTTAAGAGCTGCTTGTATAATCATCATTAATTATTTGTTAAATGTAAAACAAATAAAGCTCTATGTTTTATTAAAAAATTTTCTTTATTTTACAAATAAACACAAACCCTTGACATAAAATTATGAATTTTCACTTTCTTTTTATCTTAAACACCTCTGATTATGTGAGATCCAATGATCCATCCTTAGAAGACTCTTCGTGTGACTGAAACTCTTTATTAAGCCTTTTTTCTTCGGTCGTCTCTTAGACTGAAAAATTCACGTATGTGTTTGATCGTTATTCAAGATTTCAGTGACACAATACATATCATATACTCAAGTTAACTGTTGATTAAAACTATAAAGTCAAAGGGCTGCACTGCCTGTGCATCCATAAATTATTGGTAAAAGGTCTAAGGTATTGTAAGTTTGTGAATTTGGTTGATTTTATAAGCCACATAAAATAAGTAGAATATTTATACTTTTACATGTCGATTTTTGGCTCAAAGATAAATTATAAACTCGCCGCATATAACATAGAAAATTTAAACTTTTTATTGTCTATCTATTCAATTAGTTGCGGCTGGTTTATAATTAATAAAGTGGCTCTACTGTAAGTAGTAATAGTTATTTGAATCAGCGCCATCTAGCGGTCTTCATTTTTGAGCGAAAAGTGGCCTGTAAAATTCTCAATCAGAGCAATCAGGATTAGAGCCATTTAGTCAATTATAAACCAGCCGCAACTCATGATAAAGCTATAAAATAAAAAAATAACAATACATGTGTTTTTGGCGGCAAGTTAACAATCTATCTTTCACTCAAAAATTCATCTTATAAAGTATGAATACATAGGAGGTCGATTTTTTGGTAGAAAATAGATTGTTAACTTGCCGCCAAAAACACATGTATCGTTATTTTTTTATTTTATAGCTGCATCATGAGTTGCGGCTGGTTTATAATTGACTAAATGGCTCTAATCCTGATTGCTCTGATTGAGAATTTTAGAGGCCACTTTTCGCTCAAAAATGAAGACCGCTAGATGGCGCTGATCCAAATAACTATTACTACTTACAGTAGAGCCACTTTATTAACTATAAACCAGCCGCAACTAAAAAGTTGACGTATTTTTCGCTATTTGCGGCAAGTTGACGATTTATCTTCAACCCAAAAATCGACATGTAAAAGTATAAATATTTTACTTATTTTATATGGCTTATAAAATCGACCACATGAAAAAAAAATTACAATACCTCAAGCTTTTTACCATTAACTTATGGAAGTACGGTCCTTTAACGTTATAGTTTAAATAAACAGTTCACTTATATATGATACGTATTGTGTTACAGAAATCTTGAAAAACAATCAAATAACTACTTTAATTTATCAGTCTAAAAGAGATGACAGAAGAAAAAAGGCTCAAAAATGATGTTCAGGGACAAGAAGAGTCTCATAAGAATGGAGCATTTAATCTCACTAAATAAAAAATACATTTAATACTGAGAAGTAAATTTTAATTCGCATACACAAGCAAATAACCCAACCTTCCGTGATTAAGTGATGCCAAAACCTTCCCCGATTTTTTCTCCAAGTAACTAAGTATATGTATATCGCGAGAGTGACTCGACCTTTTGTGAATTTTTTTCAAAAGAAATATAAATACTTAGTTTGGAATCAGCCTCGCTACGTGGCGCCAATTATACCGCGGGCTTTTTTAAATTGAAATTGTGGAATTTTAAACATACAATTAATACAATGTAACAAAACAGAATAACATCTAATAGGGCGCCATGATAATTGTTTTGCCGGTTGTGACAGATTATTTTTGAGTGAAAATAGTGTAAGCTATTAAATTTTCACGTGCACAGATGACGCGAAAATTGCAGGAAAAATCTATTATCGCGTAGTTTACACCGTATGAGATGCTCCTAGCGAGATCTCGATTTTCTTGTCTGGCTGCTAAATGTAATCTCAAAAGGTAAACCTCACAGTTAAACTTTGTCGGTGCTGGTGTTACGGTTATCTTTACCATTAATAACAAAAATAAACATACACCAGCACTCCAACTGCTGATACTTGTTTTGTGGCGCAAAACGCGTCAAAGTATACATCGAAATGCTCATCAAATTATACTTGTTTTATTTGTGTTTCCGAGTACTTGTAGCCGATAAATCAACTGTAATTAACACTCTTCAAAAGTCACGGACTAAAGAAAAGTATTTCTAACCTCCCATCTACCCTATAGATGGCTGGCATCCTCGACATCAGGTGGCAGCGGATCCGGAAAGGGCACACCGCCATGCGCAAAGATAGCGAAATTCGACACCTGCCAACTGGATCCCTGCATGATAGACCCCTGCAACCCGGAGCCAACTGTAGTGATCATCGGCGCTGGAATGGCTGGCCTGTCAGCGGCCAACAGACTCGCCCAGTGCGGCCTTAAGAACTTCATCGTTCTCGAAGCCACAGATCGGTTTGACTTTTTTCTCTTTTCACGTGATCCAGCAAATAAAAACAACTACAACACCAATGTAAAAATAACAAAAACTACAACAGTCCAGGGGGCCGCATCCACTCGTGCTGGATGGGCGACATAGTGGCTGAGATGGGCGCGACGTGGATCGAAGGCGGCTGCTCGGCCAACCCGGCTTTCACGCTCGCTGCCCAGGAAGGCCTGTTGAAGCCACCGGTCTTCAGACCTGACCCGAGCAAGGGCCTCTTTCTAACGAGCGACGGCCGGGCTATCGACCTGCCGGTCAGTATAACGGCCTATCACACCTTCAAGCAGATAGAGCAGCAGGCCGCGGCACTGTTTTCCCTCGGTTGCGGCCGCAATCACGGGAACCTGCTCAACTTCATGGGCGTGAGGATACAGCAGGAGCTGCACAACTTCCCCGAGGAGCAAAGGTACGACGCGGCCCGGGTCATGTACGGGCTGACGAATTGCGTGCGCTGCCGGTGTGGCGACGACCTCTCCCTCGTTTCGGCGGACCAGTTTGGGAGCTACATCGAGGTGCCTGGGGGTAACGTGCGCGTGCCCCTCGGCTACGTGGGTATCTTGGCTCCGTTGCTGCGTGGCATAGCGAGCTGCTCGATCAAGTACTGTAAGCCCGTGAGCTGCGTGCGCTGGGGCGCGGTCAACGAAGCCTGTCCCCGGGCCCTGGTCAAGTGTTGCGACGGCGATGAGTTCGCGGCTGACTACGTTATCGTCACGGCCTCGCTGGGCGTCCTCAAGCACCAGCACGACAAATTATTCTGCCCGGCCTTGCCGGCTGATAAGGTCGAGGCTATCACTAGATTGGGCTACGGCTGCGTCAACAAGGTCTTCCTCGAGTACGAGAGGCCATTTTGGGTTTGGCACGAGGGCACTATTAGGCTCGCATGGTCGGCCGACGAGCTTGCCGATCGCTGCGATTGGCTCAAAGGTATAGACACAGACATGTATGCTTGTTTTACAAGTACCGTTATGGTAGCTTTCCATTATATACTGGACGATAAGGTATCAAAGTCAATTATTCCCTATTTGGTACTACCCGCAGGCATATCGATGATAGAAGAGCTTCCAGGGTCGCAGCACGTGCTTTGCGCGTGGGTGTGCGGTCGCGAGGCAGCAGATATGGAGCTCTGCTCGGACGAGGAGGTTGTTGACTCGATAACCCGACTCCTGCGTAAATTCACGGGTGATCCTACCCTGCCCTATCCGTCGAATCTGCTGCGCAGCAAGTGGTGCACGGACCAGTACTTTTCCGGCTCGTACAGCTACCTTGCCATGGATAGCACGGTCGGGCATCAGTGCGACTTAGCGAGCCCGTTGCCAGGTAAGCGTGATAATTTTGGTATCTATTGTTGTTTTTGTTTGAAAACATTGATGTTAAGCATTTTTGGCTGATTCTCGTCCCCCCACCTTCGTATAATCATGACGTAGGTTCGTGCGAGCCGATAGCGCCGATTCTGCTGTTTGCCGGCGAGGCCACGATTCCCGGGCACTACAGTACCGTTCACGGGGCGAGATTGAGCGGGATCCGCGAGGCAGATCGTATTGTGCAACTGACCAAGCGTTTCGGTGGTCCACCGAAAAAACTCCCAGGCCCCAATCCAGCTTGTCCGTGAATGATTTGCGTTCAAGAATCGGTGATTGTCCTTATAGAGAAATTGTTTTTTGTCTTTTCAATAAAAAAAAGTGTATTTTTGACGAGTATTGTTTCGTTTCACGGGACATGTAGAAGGTGAAGGAAATTGACTAAAAAATGAATCGGAATTTCGTGATTTATTATAACTTTGACATACACTTTTTCGTACGGTTGAACGCTTCAATGACAGTAGTCAATTTTTAACTTGGATTAACGTATTATTACAACAATTTCTTAACTTGCTTGTTTCATTTATCTTGTTCGTCGATTTGCTTGCATAACCTATTATGTATCGGGTAATATGTATATTCCAGTTACGGATAAGAAATTTTTCATATGCTTTAACTTGGTCAGTTTTTTTACTAGAAAAAAAAAACAGGGATTCATTTTTATAATAGTCTTCCAAAGTAAGTATATAGACTTATTTAAATAGAAATACTGAATCATTTGAAAATAAAATATTATTCTTGTGTTGTGTCATGTATCAGATTTTTGAGTCGTTCGTAAGTTTTGTTAGTTACAAGCAATAAACATCCCTCACACATCCCCAATAACCTTTACAATTCTAGATACTTTCAATGTTCATTTAAAAATTATGCTCCTATATTAATTATTCATCTTTGAATTAATATTTTATAAGATTAATAATTCTAAAGCTAAATCAATAGGAAAGATTAAAAAAAATAATACTAGTAATAAGGAAAACAAATTATCAGTTAAGGGTAACAAGTTCAATTATCAAGTAATAACAAAATTATTTCATACTTGATTTACAACAGTTTTTGCAACAAAACTATGGATAATCTCGAGTGGTACATCTCTTAAATTATGTACTCCCATTGGTCCCGTCGATAATACTTGGTCGTTAAGTGCCCGCGTAGTCAGTATATACACATGACTTATTACTTTTCTAACTTTTAATTCTATTATTGTCCCAACTGCAGCAAATTTTTTAGGCTAAAGAAACCTTTTTTTTCTTATTAGCCCTGTACTCATTCATCAATGAGAAAATACATAGTTTCCAAAATCTTAGCAACAATTGCTTCATTATACAACATAAGCTTGGGACTCGAGCCGTTAGTACACTTAGTTCATAATATTTATAAACAATAAAGTATTATAAAGAATAACGTTTTCACTTACATTAAACATCATGTTAAAGATGTGATGTTTGTATATCATACGATTAGAATCTTAAATATGATTAACATCATTTTGGCGAATTTTTAACAAGTGATACATTTACATTTCAGAGAATAGAAGCCACAACAATATACAGAAAAGAACATTAGCATTTCACTAAAATTAACGACATCTTTTTACAAATGACCACATTATGGCATTTTCAAAGTCACACTTAGTAACGTTTATGTACATTTTTCAAATGAACAAATATTTTTTAAATAAGAATAGAATAAGAAATATATAAAAGACCATAAAGGTGTGCTTCTATCAGTAAACACGAATAATAATGATGATTTTTATTGTACATATTATTCACCAAGCTGTTAAATTGTTAACAACAAAATGCACCTGTGGCGACTATTAACAGATTTTTCATGTAATTTTATTTTTCACGTTGTAGTTACACTTTTGATACACGGTAGTAAACCTGTCTTGTACGTCCTGGCTAAAAGTGACGAAAACTGTACGGATCGCACTTCGGTAAACACGGTATAAAAATAACATAGTATACGTCAAATGTTACATACCGACTGTTACGATAAATGCAATCGATCTGATTGTCAAAATGCCATCGTTTGCTTAACTAAGTAGAAACAGTCAAGTTAGGTAAGACGGACCATCGACAGTCGGACATAATAAATTTCAATTAAGTAGAAACAGCCGAGTTAGTAAGACGGGCCATCGACGGTCGGATATAATAAATTTCAATTAAGTAGAAACAGTCGAGTTAGGTAAGACGGTCCATCGACGGCCGGAGATAATAAAGTATCTCCCACTGATATGCATTACGAATCTGTAATTTGTAATTTGCAGGTACTTACTAAACTGCATTGTCATATTTATGTACTAATCATTTCTGTCAGAAAAAAATCCTAATATATCATACGAGAGAGACATAACTAAGAAAGATGTATACGACGTATCAAGACAAGCCAGGCGTAAACACTATACTCGCAATTTTATAAAGTTGAGATGAGGGACATATATATATATATACATCTATACGATATTTAAGACAACATGAGATCACAATCAGCAACAGCAGCAAAGATAATATATAATCCTAGACAATGCGGCATCAGGTCGAAAGACGAAATGTCGATGGGCTTCAGGACTGGTTGCAGGTGACGGGCGAGAAAGCCTTGTAGGTACGGGTTATTCGAGCGCGCCATCACTTTGAGAGCGACTGTTCCTCGATCACTTCGTCGGCGCAACGTTTAACTTCGTTCCAAGAGTACTGAATGTCCCGGGACTCGGTGTAGCGCGAACAGATGGCCAGGCGTAGGAAAAAATTGTCCTTGATTTTCGACGGTACCAAGTGAATGTTGCCGGCTCCGTTTATTCGCTTCAGAAGGTTATCGTTTATTTCATTCGAGCCCTGGTGATTCATACAATTGGCTTGTCGTGACTCCATTACGGTAATAGGAAAAAAAACAAAGGCGTATAAAAGTTTTTTCTTGTTACCTTCAATCTGAAGCAAACAAGACCAAGTACGACATCTTCGACGACCTCAAACCGGGAGTCCGACAGTACGAGCGATTCGAACTGGTGGGCAAGAGCCACGTGGTTTCTTATGTGTTTTTGCAGACCTTCGATTCCGTACAGCCGAAGAACGAACCACAACTTGAGTGACCTGAACCTTCGACCCAGTGGAATTTGCCAGTGCTGGAATATGATATCATTGATGCAAATAATTTTTTGGCAAATAAGAAGAAAAAAAAATCACACTAGCGTTATACCCTGTAATCTGGTGCAGATCCTTGCATGTCGTGTTTGAGATACACTGGATCGACATTGAACGCATTAACCAAGTATGTGGGGTCCTTGAGCCACATTGGTGAACAATCAAAATTCACCAGCATCCACTTGTGGGGGTTGAAGTTGAAAGAGTCGGCTCGTTCAATGCCCTTCAGCAGGTGACGAAATTCCGGACAAATGAAAGCAGATCCTGCACAAGCGATAATTCAATCGGGTTCTTTTTGGTAGTAGTATCGGAGAAAATGAAACATACCAGCATAGGCAGCGTCGACGTGCAGCCAAATGTCTTCCCTATTGCAAATAGGTCCTATTTCGTCCAGACGATCAAAGGTACAGGAGCTGGTTGTGCCCAGTGTCGCAACGACCTGTCAACAACGTATACAAGCGTCAATCGTTTTACTCGAATACGCCTTTTATTTTTCCATGATTCGGAGCGTTTTTGAAGCAATCGATTACTCACGTAGAACGGGACGAAGCCCTTTTCTTTGTCCGCCTTGATTGCCTCCTCGAGGGTTTCTCCGCAAAGTTGGTGCTTCTCGTTAGTTTCAAGTAATCTAAACTGTACACCACTCAAAAGGCCGGCTCGTTCAACGGAACTATGGGCTTGAACTGGAATCACATTTTTGTGTAAAAATCGATTTATGTTTACTCCTTCATTTCACGCATTCATGACTAATTTAATGGTTTCACTAGCCTCTATACTATTATACCGTTTTTCCTTGGACTACTTTTTTTCTTTTTCCCCACCCCATCAAAATTTTTCACGGTTTCAGGTATTACAATTTTTTTTACCAATTTTCTGTCATTGTAGTCTTAATGTTTGGACTCAAGTAATCAAAATACGTTGAAAATATTTTGTCAGAGACATGTAGAATCCCACGATACTTCGGGGATCCCCGTATTAACGATCTGGTTATGACGTGCGGTCTGGCCAACTGTAAGCCATGACTGCTTCCTTTTTTTGTCATCATAAAACTTAGTGAGATAATATTGTACGATAGACTACTGGATGGCAATCTTTCATATCACGAAAGGCATTTGACGTTGTTTTGGACGTTAAGTCAAAGTTCTTAAGGGATTAGGTGACGGAAGAAGAATGGAAAGAATAAAGTGGATCCTCAAAGGCCGTGCACTTCGAGAGACGATGAGTGGTATTGAGAGTCAAAGGGGAGTATAATAAAAGGGAGGCATCAGGAAACAAAGGTGAGTGGCTGCCATTCATCAGGTTTTTTATCAAAAAATTAAGTAAAAGAGACACGACGTGATTGTACCGTATGAAGAGGAGAAAAAGAGATAAAGTAGACTCGATGGAAATCAGACCGAGCTGCGTATTATATATACACATATATAAGGGTGAGAAAACAACTTTTCCGATTCAAGTGAAGCCTGGTACGGTATACGCGATGGTAAGCGGAAGAAGGGGTGGGGAATAAGAGGAAGGGGAAACTGGTCGGTCTCCGCGAGTAACTCTGGCAGTGATTACGCGTTGCCATGACGATAAAGTGCTGCTTGATGGAGTGTCTCAACGTCATACATTTATACACCTACACCGTCACTACCACTGCTCTGCTGTTGCAGCAACCCCCAGTATACCCGTCCACCATCCAGAAAGCGCTATTCCTCCCTTCACTCGTTCCATTCATCCAACTTTTGCCCCCGTGTGTGCTTGTTTGTTCGTGACTAGATTTTCGTCGACAATAATTGTGCTGAAGGTGTGGCTTTTGTTTTTTTTTTTACTTTTAGAAGGATTTGATTTGATTGTGTTGAGGTAGTAAAAGATTTTTAATTTTCTTGTTACATTTTTAGTGGGGGGTGTAGTTTATTGATTTTGACTTACCTGAACCGTACGCAACGAGTTTTCCAACAATCTCGTGATTTTTCCAGTCTGGATGTTGTTCTTTCACCTGCTGAATCTTCTTAGCTTTGGCACCTAGAAGTGCAACCAACGTAGCCTCGCTAGCTGTTCCCTAATAAATATGATTTAAATTAGTATTAAAAAACTTTAAATGGCCATAAAATAGGACTGATTAGATGTTTTTTTTTTTTGTGTGAAACTACTCGTATTAAGAAGATATTTCGATAGAACTGTAATACAGAAGATGTTTTAAATGTTAGGTACTTTTTTTACATGGTTATGTAAATAAAATTATTAGTAACTTGTAGAAAAAATAAACGTTTTGGAGTACAACTTTTTTTTTTCTTTTTTAATGATTTGTTTTTCTCACCACTAAACATATAAATTTCAAAATTTTATTTACAAATTACTTTTTGATGTTAAAAATTAATGGCTAAGATTCTATTTAAATGTTTTTAAATATATTGATTGGTTTTTAAAAGCTGTTGTTTAAAAATAAATTATCCAGTTTTTTGTTTCGTAAACTGTATTAATTACACATAGACGTATGTTATCAATTTACCTGAATCACACCTCCTGCTTTGCCACCGCTACAAGCCAAGAACTCCTTTGGTAAACCAATCATTTTTCCTAGCCAATCAAGCATTATCACTTCAAGTTCCGTGCAAGCGGGGCTGGCGATCTATCGTACATGAATCAATAATAGATGAGCTATAGTCTCTAAGAGTATTTTATTTTAAACATTCAATGTTGAAAGACTTGCCCATGTAAAGCCGATGCAAGCAATCGCGCCACTTAGCATGTCAGCAACGATAGCCGGATAAGACTGGGCAGTCGGAAAGTACGCATGAAACTTGGGACTGTGCCAGTGGGTTACCTAAATTTCACGAATTATATACAATTCAAGAGTTAATCTAGCCATTGCAAATAATATGATGTTATTAATTAGGTCACTTACTCCGGGCATTATTACTCTTTCCACGTCGTTCATGACGTCCTGCCAATTCTCAGGCTTTTGTGGCGCCTCATTAGGAAGCAAGGGCTTCATGTAGCCTGGCTGAACAGTCGGTAGTACCGTCCTGAAGTAAGAACAACCATATGAATATCGTGTATAGTGAATCATATAGTTAATTAATAGAAAACAAATAGTTCACGTAAGAAATTTAACACTGCAGTTACTGTGCCCACGCATCCAATCAATAGATATTTATGCTGATTGGTGGTTGTAAAAAATCAATGTAATTAACTAAGGAAATCGTATTCATGTGAAAATAAACATCACGTGTTGGATAGTTTTCATGACAACATCGATCAATGACACATGAAGTAATCCATGCATCAACTTTGAATTTTAATCAGATCAGGTGTGGTATTATCAATCGGGACAACGTTCGCATGAATTCTCTAATCACCGATTTATTAACACTCCATACTTTATCATCCCTTTTGATTTCGTGGAATGAAAAGAAAAAGGCGTAAGTCTTTTCACGGATCTTGATACTCGATCTCTCATTATCGACTTGCGCGTAGGTATACAATATAATTATGCGCAAGACTCAAACAGGAAAAGTTTATAACAGACTAGCTTATGACAGGTGGATTACGCGCTCTCTTTCACTCGTGCACGTAAATCCGCGCGATATCGCGTGTACTGCCAAGGCTGATTTTTCCTTTCTCTCGAGCAGTTTCACCTTCAAATACTCGCACCGTCGTCTGGGCGTAAAGAAATATGCCACAGCCAGCACATACCTATACCTGCATTTAACAACATTTGCCTTGATCCAAAATGCTCGCATCATTAGCGGATGCGTGTGTATGTATTACTATAATACGGTAAGTTTATTGTACGGGAGATGCGACACACTTGCCTGTCTCTTATGTTTTCCAGGTACTCCACGATGTAGTCCGTCATCGCCTTGGAAAACTCCTTAAAACCGTTTGGATCCATATTGTACCTGAAACAGTTGGAGCAATGGGTTATAGTTACGATTCACGAGAAACTAACGATCAATGTGATAGCGATCGCTCGAGTAAAACATTGATTGTGTTCCTACATTTACGACACATTTTATTGATTCTTATTTGGAAGACGAGGAACTTCGATAAAGATTTTGACTTACGCGCCATGCGAAGTCTGATGATTTATGATAGTCTTCGTTTTTGTTATGAATATGACGTGCGCGACATTATAATCCAATCATTAAGAGGCTATCAATCATTTTAAAAACTCCAGCTAAGATTTAAAAGGTCGTAAACATATAAGTATCATGAGTGGATAAATGCAACACTGAAAGTGATCGTGGTGTACGGGAAAATATTTTCCTTGACAAAAGTACATCAAGTCATAGTGGCGAGCGTATATTATAGCCATGAATTATAGTTCAATGCCTTATATTTATAGGATGCTCATTTCTATTCCAAAATAATATGAACTCAGTTTGAAAAATAATGTCATATCCGTTCCGAGTCTCTTGTTAGAATGTTCTAGTACACGAGCATGAAAGCTATAAAATTCTCTAAGTCATCTTTTGTATGATTCTAATTAGAACCACCGAATAATGAGAGACCAATTAATTTGATCGTACTTAATATATTTGGTAGAATCGTAAAATTATATAATTTGAAAAATACAGTCAATCTATTAGGATTTCTGGCCTGTTACTCACCTTCGAACGTTGATTTGTTTACCGAAACCAAATAGTGTGGGATTATTGGGTATTTAGAGAGTGGAATTTCAACCTGCTCACCTCTAAATATGAATGAATGTTTTTGAGGTCAGGATCAAAAGGTTAAGAATGATAAACATTACTTACGATTCATAACAAAACGTATACCAGGAGTATCATTGATAAATGGTAGTGAATGACCACTACGCTTTTGCCGTTATTCTAATTGTTTTCTTTGATGATTCGTATGTGATCAGTTATATTTTTCATTAAATATGTCGTCACCTGTCACCCGTAAAAATGTAATAAAAGTTCTGTATCTGTATTCCTTTGATATCTGATGTGTACATACATCGACGTCAAGGAAGTTCTCAATTTAGATATCTTTCTCTTTCCTTCTAGAAAACCAAATTTGTGAAAAATTTCTTAGCTTTTAATATTATAATACCAGTGATATCAGCAAAAAGCATCTACTAATTACCACTTTTTCAGTTGTCTATTAACTTATCAAGTGACCTTAACTTATCGATTTTAATCGGTGGATTTTCACCGGGAATCGGTTAAATTTCATTGATTCGGTTTACTAGACTATATCGATGCAGTTTAACATCGATACGTCAAATCACCAGAACAAACGTAGACAATAAAAGGGTTTTACAAGATAAGATAAAAGGATTACGTCTAATGAGATTAAAAAAGTGATACCCAAATTAGCACTTCAGCAGCCAAAACTCGATATTTTTGCTCACCAAGTCATGATTATAAATAATACCGCGCAAATTAAGCAATGAAGCAATAAGGATTTTAACTGATGTTGACAGATGTGGTAAAAAAAATTGACGAGTCACCGAGTTTTCCCTATGACACTCGAACATTATGCGGCTCTTGAATTTATTTTTAGCACGTGAATAGTGGATTCGATTAGTAAGAGGGTGTGTTTTATTCGGTATTACGTCATTTGTGAATTCCATACATTCTATAACTTGGGTGTTACGATAAGAATGGGGTTGCATTTTTTCTTGTTCATTCATTGACTACTTTACAGTGTGAAATAAGATTTTTCTCACATAGAATGATAAGTAATAAAAGTCGAAAGTAGCACAGGCGCACGAAGCGAAGCGGATGAAATTAATTTGTAATACGCGTAATTTTATGCATAAAATGAATAAGTCGCGCACAAAGTAAATAAACTTCGTTTTTAAATAGCTTGAGGTATTTAAAGAAAAAAAATAACAGCTTACGTTATGTTTTCAAATGATTGTATCTCATAAATTTTTAATTATTCTAACGCAATTTAGTTGTGAAATTCTTTATAAATACGGTTTATTACAAATATGATGAGTCATGCACGGTTCATACTATCAATTACACGTAAATCCATATGATATAATGTCAAAAAAGTAAAGCTATAAAAATTCTTCTGATGATACAGATTTTTTTATTGACATTAATGACACTAGCGAATCCGCTTGGCGACCACAAAGGGCCACCATAAACTCTGAATAAACTGCATGAATCTCATACATACATAGATATTAAATGTGCAATTTATCAAGTGGTTAATGTGGATTACATGGTAAGCAACAGGCTCAATATTGGCACATATTAACGCAAGCTTTCGATAAAGTGGCTGATCTCAAGTGGATAACATAATAATTTAAGTAATCAATAATTATAAGTAAATATCAATCTGTCGAATAATTCATAACCGAATTTTTTGGCTCGCGTAGATGATTCGCTGTCGCACGTACTCAAGTACGATGGGAGCTTGCAGCATTTTCTTGGATGGTTAACTTTTTTGCTACCAGTTTTTTTTGTTGTTTTTTTACAATACTTTCACTAATGCTAACTGCCACGAATCGATCAAGGATACCGATCAGCGATTGCTCAACAGCAAGTAGAGCGTTCAAGTTCACTTGTAACTGGCACGCGAGCACCGGTAGCGTTTCTTTTTGTTTTTTTCCTTTCTCGCGCTTTTTCCTCGTCGAGGCGTTCAGTGAATAAAATAATACATTTTCAGGTCGTACAGTTGAAATATGAATCCTGTAACACTAGAATCGACTGGGTGATTCACGTGTTACAGCTGATAATCGCAGTTCAATAGTATTTAATTGTAATGTGCACCATACAGTTTTACCGCCAATCGTGTTTCTTCGATTTGGCGTAAAAAGAGACTTAAAACCGCAAGACAAAAATTGTTTTCTTCTTCGAATTTTAACCAATTAAGACTACCTTAAGCTGTTTTTCGTTTTATCTTATGCCTGGATTTTTAAAAAGCAACCCTCTTGCACCGGATTTTTAAAAGGTTCTCTTTTGCACCGAACAAATGATTCACGAAAGAAAAAACAAGTTGTAATAATAATCGTCGCACTACGTTACGTGATTCACTTGTAAGTTGCAGACAAATCCATTTTTTGTTGCAATTTTTCAATTTGTTTAAAGATTTTAAAACAGTCGGCCCTAAACGTAACCTGAACTGCATCCCATCTAACCATGCTTTTGCAAGCAGAGAACAGCAACAGAGAAAAAAAAAAAATAATAATAAAATTTTATTACCACTATATGAAATATACTTTAGCAAATAGATTCACTTACTTTGCTCAAAACAGTCCCGACCGGAATCCCGTAGAGTGAATAATAACACTGTGCGCGATGAACTGCCAGAGTCGAGACTCGATTGCACTATACAAAGCCGTGAGCCAAAATGCAACTCACACGCTCGATAAATAGCACACCAAAAGATACAAAGCGAAAATTGGGCTTACCCAAAAAGTGCAAAGCAAACATAAAAGCTTGCGGGCGACCGTGCGTACACGAAGGTTCGCGAGTCAGTGGCAGGATGGACGTGCTTGTGCCGCGGATTTATGCTAGCACCCCACCCCGACCGAAGCGTCACTCTCTCTCTCTTTCTCTCCCTCTGTCCCTACATCGTATGCTGTTGTTATTGTTATCAAAACTAACGCTTGTCAGACTCAAATTGCACAGTAGACGATGCATGTATATACGTACTTAAAATATGGACGAAAGCTCCCGTAATGCTTCAGCAAATTAGTTAATTTTACGTTTGCACATTGCGTAAATGGTCAAGCATGAGTTTATTACTTTTTTGGTGTTTGCTCTCGTTTGATTAAATTTCGCTTTGAATCCTCATTATGATATACTTTGCATTATGCATCAGTCAGAGCTTTAAATTTTCGCATCGTAACAATGATTTTTTTTTTCAACCATCAATTATTGATTTGATTTGCTGTCAATCCAAGAATATCCTGAAAATTTTCTAAGCATCACAGATACGTTAATAAGCTTTTGATAAACAATAAAATCAACTAGCAATAAGTGAGCTCGAAAATCCATTGTTGCACATACAAAACAATCAGTTTTACCGTAATAGTATTAATTTTTTTCCATAAAAAATTACTTAAACAAATAAGCTATGACAGGTGTTGTTAACCCTTTAAGAAATAACGTGAATCAATGCTAAAATAATTTAGAATATTGGTACGTGACACCAGCCACGTATCATCTTGTCTTGTTATCCAGACTACATCGCACCCACACACACAGCAGGATTCATTGGCTTAGTCAGAACGCGGAAAGCACCTTTAACGATCGTGTCCTTACGTACGCCTTTTGTTCAACTATTATAGTAGCGTGAGCTTTCAATTGATTAAGAAGGAGCCTCGTGCAAGGAAAGTCAGAGCTTGCGGGGGTGCGCTCGAGGCAAAATCGCGTTAGCAACTCCATCTGAGATCTATATGAACGGAGTTCGCGCTTTGTAGGTGCGGGAAAACGCTCGATCGAGTTAACGAGGGCAATTTTCAAGCTGATGCTGCTTTAAGGGAGGAAAAATCGAGTTGATGGTCGTTGAACACAACTTTGTCCGGATACAAGTGCATCGATCGAAGACGCTATGTTTTTTTTTTTTTTTTTTTTTTTTTTTTTATCTTTCCGATCGGTAACGGCAAAGAGGCTAGGTGCCCATGGAAAATCAGCAATCAAGATCTTTTTGATTCTCAAAGAACATCCTATTGAGTAGTGAAAGGCGAATGAGAAGCGCCAAGTGCCGAAAGGTCAAATCCGTGCAGTCGATATACGGAAAGGGTAATTGAATTTTTTTTTCTCACCCAAGGATTTTTATTTAAGGTGGCTGTCAGTATTCGAGATGTACATGTTTTGTATATAACCGAGGTTGAGATTAACTAAAACATTAGAGCACTTGATTGACACCTTAGAAGTATGTGGTTAATAGTAATAGACTTCCTCACTACAGTTCTACCAGACGTACGATTACAAAGACCAGTCTTAAATTCCGCACCGATTTTTCCTACTCCGCTTGTATAGTATCACCATCACTTTTTCGCGCTACAATGTATACATGTGTTAATATGACCTTTCTTGTACATCACAACTATATTTTTTCAATACACTACACGGATCTAATCTCAATGTGCTAGCTCCATCTCTTACTCTTGCAGTGGCTATACCATTTTAATTATTACAAATGTAAATTTAATTTATTAATTTACAAGAGACAGTACAACTAGAGTCTTCAAACTTTTGTACACACACGATTGTAAATACATATTACATTGAATGTTAATTATTGACTAGGGAGAACCCCGAGACAATATGACACTTTTTATGCGAAAAAGAGTCAAACGTCTTAGAAATGGTATGTTTGGGCCTTATAAAATTTAACTATAATAGAGACAGTACCTTTAACAACAGAATTTACTATTAAATTTTTTTTTAAATCGAAAGAAAATCATTTTTTCCGTCAATCACCTTGAGTAACGCTATGCGATCACTCTAAGTAAAATAATTCAAGCAGCGCTTGGTTCGCTGAAAAAAAAAAAAGAATAAAACGGCGAAATAGGTGGGTACTCGAGAGAGAAAGCTCTCTTCGTTTCCTTCCAAAGAGGATAAGGAACTTGGGTCGAGCAGATTTTTCATTTCACTTCCACGATTTCGTGCTCCTCTTTTCTTCATTTCTGCTGCTGCAGTCAGTTATAACATAATCCACTCTATCATTTTCCTTTTAGACATGTACATATAAAAAATAATAAAAATTTACATCACACCTGCAGCTACTGAAGCATTAAATCACAAAAGAGCCTCTGCGAGATAAAATAAATGATTTTAATGAAATGTTTTAGAAATTAGTTGAGACAAAAATGCAAAAGTGTAGTTACACAGTAATATATCTGAAAAACAAACCCTAGAATGGTAATATACGTCGATACATCCTTATTCCGTACTAGTTTTATTTTCTAGTATTTGCAAATGTTTATTTTACAAATTACCTGTTTAATTTTGATGTTCAATATACTTATCAAAATACATAAAACTAATTATCCATAGCAATATGACAAAAACGTACCAGTGTCGTAGCAATTAGCTATTAGTCTTATAAACATCTCCTACAAGCTAGGGGCTCTTCATCCTCCGTTCGTTCCGTACGTCGTCGCTGTTGCCATGGCTACGACTCCTGGTATAAAGGTAGGTGGTAGCAGAAGAGCAAAGGTAATCGGTGCTCTCTCTCTCTCTCTCTCTCTCTGTCTCTTCTAGGCTTCCGTTTTCTTTTTTTTTCCTCGTAGCGAGGACTGACCTACTTACTAGCACACAAGCCAGGAGAATCACGTATGAGGGCTCGCTTTGGTACCAACTCGCCTGTCACTGGCAATCGCGAGGGGGTCCAGACAATTTCCCCAAGTGATTTGCCCGTGCTCTGTGGACACTTTGGTCTAACTCGTCCCCTCCATCTACACGAATACACTCTGCATGTCTCTAATGTTGCGCGAATAAAAGGAGCTTGCAGAGGCCATTTGCAGGTGTTACCAGAGAAACTCTGTAAGCTCTGGAAGTACCATTTATTCATCATTAACATTACTTGATGATTTTGCTCTTGTGCGAGCTTGAGGGTTTTTCGTAGTGAGAGAGAAAATCGTAACGACTGGATTATACAGCGTGTATTACTCTCGGACGTCACGAAAACCCGAGAATTCCATCGGTTAATGCAATGCATTATACATGGGGATCCACTGTTCACCCTCGCCAACACCTTAACGGATGAGCTACAGCCCATGCATATGTACATACCCTCCCAACCGAGCGTTTTCTCACTGTTTTAGGGCTACCAGGGAGATTTATGGCGTTCAAGTTTACGTGATAAAAGTCCACAGCTGTTTGATTTTTAAGCTTTTCGTTTGGTGATTTTTCGGCATAGCAGGCGTTAAGCGTAAATGTAAAGTTAAAAAAAGACAAAAAAAAAAAAAAAATTGTTAACAAAGATCGGTAAAACGCAGCACTGAAGCAAGAGAAAAATCTCTTGGCACAACTCAACGAGAAACAATTGATTTCTCGCGCTATAGTAAAGGACGGCGGTGTCAAAGCGAAATGTCCTGTATATAAATCGTTTCCCGGTTTTCCCGTCTAGTATTTTCAATAGCGAAGCGAAAATGGATGTCGAAAATTAATAAAATTCAGACCAGCGTCGAAAAATCTAAAAGATGCGGGACCAACGTGGGTAACGTATAACCTGCATCATCATCCGACAGACGGCTAGTATAATAACCAGATTGGTTTCTCTCGCTCGCGCGCGTGTGTCGCGTATACATACGGAACAACAAACGCGCAAACAAAATTAACCTCTAAAATCGCGACCGGCCTTTCTTTTCGTACCTTCGTCCCGTAAGATGTTTATCGCCAAGTGATCGGGAGTGTCAAAGATTGATCGGAAAATGGACACGATCAAAGAGTACATGGAGTGCATAAACTTTCACTGGATAATCGTCGTGCTGACCGGCATGTACGTCCAACTGCGCGACATTTGCCTGATCGGCCTGTGCTTCGAAGTTATTCGCGACCCGCCCTTTAATCCGTCTTACGCCACCCTCATCTTCGTCTTTTCTACGGTCTGCCTCTTGGCCGAGTATAGGCTGTGGCCCAGATCGCTCAAGGAGCCGCCCATCCAGCTGCTCATCATCTACGAGGTAACTACGTATTTTTGTGGTGTTTTTTTTTTTTTTCTTCCTTTCTTACGATACTTTTGCCGGATCTGAAATGTCAACGTTTTAGATTCTGTTTACCGCTCTGGTCACGGATTTGGTGAAGCGAATCGTGTGGGTGCCGCTGATGCACCTAACTTGGTGTTTGACGCAAGAGTCCAGCAAAGCGGTGAGCCATTTTTTTTTTTCGGACATTTCATTTTGATGATTACCTATTGTATAAGTATCACGAGTATTAGCATCAACGTTGAAGCATTAATTTTTGTCTCTTATTGCAGTTGATATGGATGAATTCCCAGTTGGAGTTGGGCAAATATTCCCAGCTGATGACGATGGCCTCGTACATGAGGACGGACATTGCAGCAACGCACACGGCCTTTTGTATTTCCGTGCTCTCGTTTCTGTGGATGCTAGACGCCACCGAGACCCTTGATTCGCTCTTGATCGATCTCTGGGCCAAGTATTAAGTAAAAAATCATGAAAAATCCAACTGTTTTTTGATCCAATTTAAATTTTTTGTTTGTTTCTTGAATAATAAACATTGACTTTCAGGGAATCCACCAAGTGCCGCATACAAAGAAACAAAAGGATAACTTTCAAAAATCCCGAAGTTACCGATTACTTTGTGTACCGTCTACTGAAAGGATGAATCAGTGTCTATGCTTATGTCTACTCGTCAAATGAAAATTGTTTTGTGCCCCGCAAATTGTCTACAACTCGTACTTTTGTGATAGTATTTTTTTATTTTTTTTATTTTATAAATATTAAACCTTGTAAATTGGCATCGTGATAAAATTTTTGTAAATACATACATCTGTATAAGGAAAATTTTTTAAACCTCTTTATTCAACAAAAATTTGAAACCCATCATTGAAGTACGCGTAAAAAGGCAGGTGTGGAAATAAGCTGGAGTAAAAGCTATTTGCCGATACATACTTACTTAAAATTAGTAGATATTAAAGTATATAGGGTTCTAATGCAGTAGGAAATGAAGTAAAGTGTATCCGACGTTCATATAAATGCATTAACATCGATTCAATTATTTCCTAATTTCCACAATCAACTTCAAACGGCTCTCTGTAACAGTTGCCATCACCCATGCATGTAATCATGGTTAGAAACGCACGAAACTCTGATTGAAACATTTACGGTTAGGAAGATGACAAATTTTATTTACACGATATGGGCGCTGTTGTTGCACTGCATGAACAAGTCTTTGTTCAAAACGTGTTTTGCCGATGCTCTGGAGGACGAGCACGGCAACAATTTCCCCTTCGGACCGCCCATGACGTCTTTCATCTTCGCCGTTGGAGTGTACGCAATTACATCTAACCTCGACTTCTACCCGGCAAAATTTCGTAAACCAAGTCCTCTGTTGATGGGCTTGTACGAGGTAAATATGGAATTGTATCGATTAAGATGTACGATGATTTTCGGGTTCCACGTAATTCGTTAAGTTTTATTGAATTGTTCTGCTAAATGTAAAGCATACGTTTTGTTTTTAGTTTCTGGTGACGTCGTTTATTCTAGAATTTTCGTTAGCCTGCATTTGGGCTCCCATAGACGTTCGTATTTATGTATCTTTGACGCAGACGATCCACAAGGTTTGCATGAATTTTGCCCAATAAGCCGTTTTGCCGGTACACCAGCACCTTATCGTGTATTTTGCATTTCGTTGCCAACAGATTTTCGTACACTTTGAGTACAAGGAAGCAGCCGTGTGGTTACTACACAACAAATATCCCATGGCAATTCTATGTTACGTCATCGCCATTGGATTTTTGCTGTCCGCGCTGTACGTCACCGGATGGTCCGATGTTATCGCTAATTCGTAAGTGTATCGTACAAAATAGTATAAATGTTGGGACATTTTTTTTGGCGTACCTATAAGTGTCGAACGGCGATTTAGGGATTTCAAGCGGAAGCTTTTTTTCAATAATCCCAAGAGCAAAGCAGTGCTGAATCTTTCCAACGAAAATGTGAACTTTGACGAATCTGAAAACGACGATTCTGCAAACCGTAAGAAGATCAGGAAGAAAAAAACTCGAAAGACTGTGATCAAGGAAGCTACGCTCGAATAGGTTACCAGTTGGTATGATTTTTTTTTTTTTTTTAATCTTGATTTATCAATTAGTTTGTTAATGTGCTTCTAGAAATACGATAGAGGATAAAAGTTTGATGAAGAAAAATAAAAAAATTCACACACAATTTTATATTAAAAAGAAGGCATTTTTTATTTCGTTCAAAACTGAAAATGATAAAGTACAAATGTTATTGATAATATATTAATAATCGTGTATCGTAATCAATCATTTATTAATAATAATAATTAATAATACGTGTATTGAGTATACTGTACGTATAGACTATTATACGGTAATTGTACTAACGAGATGTGTTCAGTGGCAGCGCACATATACATATGTATTTATATTTATATATATATATATATTTATGTATAATTTATATTTTTTTTTCTCATCTATGTTTCTGTACATTACAGCATCCGTGTAACGACGGCTACGATAAAACATTGGGTCCTTTACGATCGCTACCAACTACGCGGTGATATCGCGTTCGGCACTGGGCATCCCGCAGATATTACTTCCCGATTTCTCGTAAACGAGTATTACTTTAATTTACGCCTATTTTCTCGACTCGACATTTATTTATCAACTTTTTTTGTTTTTTTTTGCTTAGGGCAAGGTATGCATGTTTTCGTACTTTTTTTTCTGGGCAGTGTGTAGTTGTGATAATTAAAAGCGTATAGAAAAAGTTTTTTTTTTGTCTTCATCAGATATGTGCCTTCGAACATAGTTTAGTTTTTTTTTCTTCTTTTTATTATACTTAAATAATGACTATATGCTATCGGCAGTCCTTTGCATTTCTTCATTGTGAATAGGAAATATTCAGTTATACAAAGTATAAGTACACTTGAGAGTATACGTATTGATAAAAAATGTTCATTATTCGTAATGTAAGTCAACGATTCGTTCTTGAGATCATGTGGCGTTTTCACGATTTTTCCCAGCGGAAAAAATAAATACATTAGGCATCCTTTAAACGTGACAAAGAATACGCCTGCGAAATTACTTGTCTCATTGAGTGGCTTTTATGTAAATTCGCATTTGTGAAAAAAAAAATTAATAAAAAAGTTAACAATAAAATTCTAAGAGCACATCTTAATTATACAGATAAAAAGTCTTATGTTTTCATTAATTCGATTGTTTGTACGGTTTTTTTTCGTGATTACGATTAATCGATTATTATTGAATGAAAGTATGAAACCGAGAGCGGGTAACGGATCTCGGAATGCCGAGGGCCGAAGGCGGTAATGGAAAGATTGTGAAGTGTGTGGTATTAAAGATTCGTTCATTTACATAGACAACGGTGAACCTTATCTATATATTATATAGTTAATAATTCTCTTATGCCACTGCACACACGCACGACGCAATCCAGTTTTAACGATAAACTCTCATTTCCTAATGCCAGTCTGTGGAATACTGTCGCTGTATCTTAATTTCTACACTTTTCTAGTAAGTAGGTAAAACAGTACGTGTCTTCGAAATTCGCTTAAAGAAGAATACATGGACTGACAAACATGTTAATTTAACTAAAACGAAATAAATTAATAAAAAGATTTAAAAATTTATAACCATCAAAATGCATTCTACACAACAGGAATAATAAACGTATTTGTTGTTACTTTCGTTGAACAATCTGAAATTTAGCGTATCCTTATTTATCATATGCACTTTGTAATACGATGATTTGATATCGAGTTTTTCGTGCATGCAAATTGAGGTTTCGTAAAATTCGAGAACACTTTAGTGTAAATTATGATTAATACTTTATTATCCGTGAAACCGACTGCATTTTGAAGGTTCGTGCATCCCATTTAATAGTTTGTATTAAGATGAGACATCAAAATAACGCATATAATTACAAATTGACGACGACATAAGTTAAAAAAAATCATATACATACGCCAAGTAAATATAATACAGAAGTTTAATGTACAAAGTCTCTTTCTCGAAGTATGACTGACAGCTTACAAACACAAGACTAGGTCAGCTTTAATCGCGGGTTCAGTGTTACACATTTTCCTTTTTTTTTTTTTTTTAAATTAAAATTACGCACATGTATATTTCTCAAAAATTAATATCACAAATCGCATAAAAAACGATACCATAATAGTACGAAAACCGGTATAGGACAATCATACAATTACATTAACTCGCGTCGTCGTGCAAAGTTGGCGACGCTGTTGAGCGCACTGACTCCTCGTTTGTATAGTATCTCTTTGTGAGTGTATTGGTGTATGTGTTTGTGTTTCTCGATTATGTGTAAGACTCTCGTCTCATTTTCTGGCCTTCATACGTTTAATTACACATTTCTTCGTATATTAATAATATTTATATATTTATATATTTATACGTTGTTTGTTTCTTTCCTTAAGGATAAACCGTTACGCGGACACCTAACAGGTAAATTGACTATTTTTTTAAATATTCCCATGAAGAATTTTACAAATTATCAGTCGATTTCGAGTGAAAAAATCTATTTCATACACGTACCAGCGACGTAGTCGAGCTATTTATTAAGGTACACATAATTTGGCCCTTCACAGCGAGAGACTCGACGGGACTTTAGGTGCGTGTTTCATACTACATTGTGTACATAGACGCGGCGAGCATCGAGTCGCTTGCGTGGAATTGGCTTCATAATTATTTTTTTTCTTCTTTTTATGAGTCGCTGTGAATTCACTCATAAAAATATTTTCTTATCACAAGACAAATACTTTTCAATTTCTCGTCTAGATTAAACAGCTTTGCACTTTTTTTTAAAATAGAGTTGCATTGTTGGCTCGAGAAAAATAATCTAGATGAAAGTTTAAAAAGTATTCTGGCATCTTACGACAAGTTACTATTTTCATAAGCATCCAAAAAAAAACTAAAAAAAAAAAAAAACGTTGGTACAATTGGATATCGACTGTGGAAAAGTGATCTCTTCAACCAAAAAAGTACGTATGATTAAATAAAAATGTTTTTTTTTTTTCATTTTGTGGTGAAGTATCGCACGACGAAAACCGAGCTAATTGCTTTGGCGCGATGCTATAGAATTCTTACAGTATTAATGATAAATAGGATGAAAAAGGCGATGGCGACGAAGATGTGATGACATTATTAACACTAGTAATAAAAAATAATATCGATGATAATAATAGTAATAATCTTATCTTTGCAACGATGACTTCGATCAAGGTACGACTACAATATTCAATATATATTTCGATAAACTTTAAGGAAATCGCGACTTCTGACCTCACTTTGGGGATGATTTTATTCTTATAGAGCTACAACGAGACGTTTAACAATGATTATATTATGTTCAATAAGATTTTTGTGTTTCATGAAACTAATTTCATATTTTTATGAACATTTGTCAGTTGAGTTACACATATGTCTGTCATAACACTATGAGTTTTTAAAAATTTTTTTTGTTTTATTTCAATTTAAGGTATGTGTACGTGAAAATCTTGACTTGTGGCTGGATGACTTTAATACGTGTTTTGTGTTTAAAGTTTTTTTTTTGTTTTTTTGTTTTTTTTTTCGTGAAACATGGATTGCGGTCTTTATACTGTATTTACTCGTCTACTTCCGATCATCATGATCGAGGAGGATAATTAAAAACCTATGACAATAAATGACGATGGATAAACGGTCTTATTTCTTAATTTTACTATATATATGTACGTATACTATAATTAACGAAGGTAACCGGTTGCAGTCGAAATAATTCATAAAAACTAATCCTTAGAAATATTTTACGTTACGTTCGCATGCGAGGGACAACTACGTATACGCGCAACGCACTATAATACAAATAGTTGTTGTATCGTTTTTTAATGCTTTATATATTAATTATAGGTAATGAGTGTTTCTTTTTTTAAACCATTTTTTTTCTTATTTTTGCACACTCTTTCGTTTCTTCATACTTATTGCAGTTTTCATTGCGCGTGGCTTTACGCTTTTTTGTGTTTCAAAGCGAACTTGAAATGCAATACGCTTAACATTATTTTAGTATTTTCATCATGCCAAAGTTACTTTCACCTTGTAATCGTGCGAATCGGGCGTACTGCTATTAATAAGACTTTCAGAAATATATAAAGTATTTGTTTATCTTATCATTAAGCAAGGACAAAATAAGCCCAAAGTCAACCATGTCTTTCGATTTTTCTCACATCGAAGATTGAACTTTAGACCGTCATGTGCTCCTATTACTAGTCCTTCAATAGCTTTCTTTTTTAAAAAAGAAAAAAAACATGCTCAACCATCATTACACGAATATGAATTGACGATTACACTTTTCGTGCAGTCAAACCAGTAGTAGTCACTATTATTGGAATCGTAAAGTAGTTTACTCTTCTTCACTCTCATGTCCGTTAGGACCGTACATGTCAGCTAATTTATCAAATCTAGGACCCCAACTACCCAAATATTCGTATTCTTGTTGCTCATCGTCTGTACCTAGAAACAAATTTTTTTCATTTTTATAATTTTCTCTATTACTTTCAATAAACAAAATTTGGATTATAAAATAGCTTACCAGATGCTAAAGATGACAATGAGCCAGCAGTACTTCCACCTCCTTCGTATGCATAATTTCGTAAGTCATCAAATGGAGGCGCATTAGGATCACAATCTGCTCTTTTCTTGTGATCCTCGATGAATATTCCAACATTTGGTTCCGGTCCTAATGGATCTGCGTAATATAAAAATTACATTTCAAATCGTGTATCAGTTTTAACAAATATCTTGTTTTAAATACATACAGGCTACTTTGCATTGCGGTATCTTTCCTCCCATTTCAGGAATCGGCCCTCCAACTGGTATTTGCAAAGGAGTAATATCAAATGCAGTCATATCATCTTCTCCACCACCTTCATCATCATAATTAATGATATTTTCTCGAACATCATCGTCCGGTCCTGGATATTTGATAAGTGACTCACGTCTTCTATTATACACGATGAATACTAACACAAGAACTAAAAAAATGTCAAGAGTCAATAATGTTATTTTCCTAGTTCCTAATACTTATAATTTTTAAAAAAAATTATGGTTGCACATAAATGAGTAAATTATTTACCGAGAATAAGTAAAAGACAGACTAAAATAGCAGCAACAGCACCCATTCCTAGCTTTAATGTTTGTCCTTCTTGAACGAGTTCGCAATTTTCTCCCCAAAATCCATCTGGACAAATGCATCGATAACGGAAGCGGGGATCTTGATTTATACATCTACCACCATTTAAACAAGGGAGGTCAATACATTCATTTTTATCCATGCATCCTTTGTTATCTGGAGACGGTACTCTTCCTTCTCCACACCTGTAACCATACCAATATTGAAAATTGTTAACTCAGTTCACGTATATTTTATTTGATATTTTGTACAAGTGTTGAAAATTTACGCACGTGCAGTCATATTCGTTCCAAAGATCAATACATTCGAATGGCTCAGGGCATATAACATTTGCACATGGCTTATTTGAAGGACAGTTTTTATCAAGATTTCTAGCCATCGTTGCTTGTCCCCATTGTGTTCCGTTCATAGCTGGTGGTAATGGAAGATGTTTACCTTCGAGTCTAATGTCATCCAAACAACCTAATGGTAAAATTTTCATTAGTTATTTGATGTTTGTAAAAGATACTAGTGAAACGATGATAAATTATCATTACCTTTTTGATAATCAGCATAAACTTCAAATGTTCGAACTCCAGTATACTCTGCTTTTCCACCAGCGTAAACACCTTCTTGCTTGTCAACCAGAAGCCACTGATGTCCTTCAAAGGAGAAAGTTTCATTAAATCTCCGTCCTTCACCGCCATCTAGTTCTAACATTGCAGCAGATCCATATCGAGAAACTCGTACTGTATGCCATTGTCCATCATCCACAGCCACTGCTGTCAACCAAATGTCGCGTTCTTCAGTTCTCAAGCTGTTTAAATTGTATTTGAATCGAAGTCGGCTATCTTTTATTTCTAGTATGGCATATTCTCTGTTATGTTGATCACTAACACGGAAGAGTTCACCGTGAACCTCACGAGTACGGAATCGTAATTGAATTTGAGTTGAATACTTGTCAGGTTCAAACGATAACGCGTATTTAACATAACTTTGGGGTTTGAATGTTGTTGGTATCGTTGGTATCATACAATTCGGTCCTGTCCATCCTGGATTACACTGGCATTTTGCTTCAGAGAAACTTCCAACACATGTGCCATGTTCCCAACATCGGAACGTTGACTCTTGATTTTTACACAACTCGTCCGCTTGAGTGCACCCTGCTACACTATTTCTAGATAAGCCAGGATGAGCCATATCGTAGAGCTTGCTATTGTGGAATAAGTTTCTGATACAACCATCAAAACCTTTGCCAACCGGCATATATTTCCAACCATATTGATCAGGTTCAAATTGTTCTACATATAAACCACCAATTTGCAAGGGAGAATTGACGTTTAAGTATTCGTTGAAAGGTGGCACAGTTCCTATGGCTTGACAACTTGCGTCATTGAATTTTGGTGCTGTACCATCGTCTTGTTCAGATATTTCAGCAGATTTGCAGTAATCAACAATTAATTTGACGGTCTAAAAGAAAAATTTGTATTCGTTAAATTAAGTTTTAAAAATGAAATTTTTAATTTATATTCATAAAAAATTTTACTTCAGTATTCCAGAATATATCTATTCTGTGCCATTCTCCATCATCAAGACCTTTCTTTGTTTGAACTTTAAGTTCTAATGTTCCAGAACCAAAATCTATAAGAAGTCTAGGAACTCCACGTTCTAACTCAACGGAGATAAAATCTGAAAAAATCATACAATTCAACTTATTTATTGCCCTTAACATATTGTATTTGTTTTATCCAGATTTTAAAATCCATCCATACCAGACACAAGTATTTCATCTGTTAGAAACGCACGAAACTCTGAT